GTAAACAGTTTTATATGTACTGTTTAGCATCACCGATACGAAGTCTGTCGCTTCTTCGAAAGCAAACCGCATTTTAAATCGTTCATAAATCATTACACATTTGAAAGGCTATATATTTTGTTTTATTTGTGGCTAAAGTTTTTAACTTAAGAATTAATGATCCAATGAAAGATCTTAAGCTTCCAGGAAACAAAAATATAACATTTCGATTTTAAGCCGCCATCTTGGATTTTTAGCGTTTCAACGTGAAAACGCTTGTCCGAAAACGTTGTTAGCATTGAGAACGTTTTCGTCATAAGATGACGTTTTCATCCGTTTTCGTGTGGACACGGCTTGAAAACGACACTTTTTGAAAACGTTACAGCTGAAAACGCTCGAAAACGTTACCGTGTGCACATAGCATAGATATCTTATATACACTAGATAGTGCATCTAATTATTCTGCAATTCAAATATTGAAGCCGTGATTGCAGTCTCAGGTCGTTCCCATGAAATGATAAGATTCGTATGTTTTCTATTTCTTAAACAGGGAACTTAAACCTTAAGTTAACCCTATTCCAAAAATATTTTTAAACTATTCGAATGATGAAAGTTGTTGTTGTTTTTAAGCGTTTATTAGCATGTGGGAACGACCAACATGGCCGCCATCTATTCAAATGGGGGTAACCGCTGGAATATTCCTGGCTTCAATTTTACTAAAAGAGATGCGCTATCTAGTGTATATAAGATATCTATGGCACATAGTCTTAGTGTCAACACTACAACGAAAATGATAAAATTATCGTTTGACGATAACGATTTTAAAATCGCTCACTTGAGCGATTTTTTTTTTCAGTCGAACGATAACGATAAATTTTTGAGCAATCAACGCGCGTATACAAGTTATCGTATCGTTATCGTTGTGTAGTGTGACCTGGGCTTTAGCAGATTTTTTTACCTTAACGTTTCGTCCATTTTTAGCCGATTTTTCAATATTTTAAAAAGAGGCAAAAAATAGCAAGAAAGTAAGGCTATATATAGCCTTAACTTTCCCTCCATTTTTATCCGATTTTTCAATTTTTTAAAAACAGTGAAAAATGGCAAAAAATAAGGCTATAGCCTTTAATTTTCGTCCATTTTTTAGTAATGTCCAATACAAGCATCTGATGTCTGATGGTGAAGATGGTGTATGATGGTCGAAGTGTGCCAGATGGTGTATAATGGTGTAGGGTGGTTGAACAGGGAAGGGTTGTCAGATGGTGTATGATGGTCGAAATGTGTCAGATGGTTGTCAGATGGTGTATGATGGTGTAAGGTGGTTGTACAGGGAAGGGTTGTCAGATGGTGTAGATGGTACAGATGGTGTATGATGGTCGCAGTGTGTCAGATGGTTGTCAGATGGTGTATGATGGTGCAGGATGGTTATACAGGGAAGGGTTGTCAGATGGTGAAGATGGTGTATATTGAACTTTGCATTTTGACCCTGCTGGCTTATGTGTTTGTCATTGACATTGGCTGGGTTACAGCCATGAAGCTGAGATCAGCTGTACTAACTTTCTCGCTCATGCATGTTATAACTGTTATAATTTATAGTTTGCTGCCCGGAAATGCCTAAAATCTCCTCCAAGTGAATATAAGCATGTATACATATGAAAAGTAAATACACAATTTTTGACGTTGTTCAAGATTTTATAATAATGCGTTAACGGACTTAACGCGTTTGTTACTGCAGTTTAGTATGTACGAAACGTGTTTTTGAAAGAACGAGGCAATACTATATTGATGTACAATTAGCCGTAACGCGTTTATCGTTGGCTTTTACTCATATATACATGTTGTCGAAAGAACGAGGCAACACTATATATGCACAATTGTGGTGTTGCTATCAATGTTTTTCACAAAGAACGAGGCAACACTGTATGTATATATGCAGAATTATATTGTAGTGTTGGTATATACATGTTCTTTAAAGGACCCAACACTATATATGCACAATTGTAGGTTAAAAATCCCCCCTCCCCTTACACCATCTTCACCACCAGACACTATCTTCACCACATGACAATAGCTGAAACCAGTCCTACACCATCCGACACCACACTACAAGCATCTGACAAACAACTGACCATCTGACACCATCTTCACCACCTGACAACCGATGGTTATATTGGACATATATGCCATTTTTAGCCGATTTTTCAATATTTGAAAGAGGCAAAAAAAATGCAAAAAAGCGAGGCTATAGCCTTAACTTTTCGTCCATTTTTAGCCGATTTTTCAATATTTTAAAAAGAGGCAAAAAAGGCAAAATAGTAAGGCTATATAGCCTTTAATTTTCGTCCATTTTTAGCCGATTTTTCAATTTTTTAAAAAGACGGAAAAAATGAAAAAAAGTAAGGCTATAGGCTTAACTGTTCGTCCATTTTTAGCCGATTTTTCAATATTTTAAAAATAGTGAAAAAATGGCAAAAAAGCGAGGCTTTAGCCTTTACTTTTCCTCCATTTTTAGCCGATTTTTCAATTTTTTAAAAATAGTGAAAAATGGCAAAAAGCAAGGTTATAGCCTTTAATTTTCGTTATAGCCGATTTTTCATTTTTTTAAAAAGAGACAAAAATCACAAAAAAGCAAGACTGTAGTCTTAACTTTTCGTCCATTTTAACCGATTTTGTAATTTTTTAAAAAGAGGCAAAAAAAATTTTAGACGATTTTTTAATTTTTGAAAAATATGCCAAAATGACAAAAAGCAAAGCCATCGCCTTGCTTTTTTCTCATTTTTTGCCTCTTTTTAAAAAATTGAAAAATCGTCTATAAAAATGGACGAAACGCTAAGGCTATAGCCTTATCTTTTGTCATTTTTTGCCTCGTTTTAAAAAAATTGAAAAATCGGCTAAAAATGGACGAAAATTAAAGGCTATATCCTTGCTTTTTTTCCATTTTTTTCCTCTTTTTAAAATATTGAAAAATCGGCTAAAAATGGACGAAAAGTTAAGGTTATAGCCTTTCTTTTTTACCTCTTTTTAAAAAATTGAAAAATAGGTTAAAAATGGACGAAACGTTAAGGCTATAGCCTTGCTTTTTTTGCCATTTTTTCCCTCTTTTTAAAATATTGAAAAATCGGCTAATGGAAATTGAAAATCGGCTAAGAATGAACGAAAAGTTAAGGCTATACTTTTTTGCTATTTTTTGCCTCTTTTTAAAAAGTCGTCGGAAAGTTAAGACTATACTTTTTTGACTAACGAAAATGACGAAAAATTAAGACTATATATAGCCTTACTTTTTTGCCATTTTTTGCCTCTTTTTAAAATATTGGAAAATCGGCTAAAAATGGACGAAAAGGCATTAACTTTCTTTCATTTTTTTGCCTCTTTTTAAAAAATTAAAAAATCGGCTAAGTGAAGGCTATAGCGTAAGTAAGGCAATACCCTTAACTTTTCGTCCATTTTTAGTCACTTGTTTCATTTTTGATAGAAGGGCGAACCAATGGTAAAAATGTAAGGCTTTTCATTTTTGAAAAATAAAAAACTGGCTAAAAATGTACGAAATGTTAAGGCTAAAAACTTACCGTTTTGCCATTTATTGTCTCTTTTTAAAAAATGAAAAACGGGTTAAAAATTTTGGGCATTAAATTTTAATATTTTTTTCAAAAAAGGGCTAAAAACGGACTAAAATTTAGGTGGTTGGCCTGTGGTTTCCTGCATTTCAATGCACTTTTTTAAAAATAAAGAAGTGGCCAAAAAGGGCAAAAAGTAAAGGCGAACCTCTTTATTTTTCGTCCATTTTAGCCACTTTTTCGATTTTTGATATAGGGATTAGCCTGTACGTCTTTGTCACTTTTCCAAAAATAAAAAATGGCTAAAAATAGACAAAAAATTGTATGTTCATTCATAGCGTTGGAGGCAACCAATAATTTGTGTAAATTTCACACTGTATACATTATGTAAAATGTCGAGACAAACAGCTGTTTCCCCCGACCTAAAGTAAATGGGCTGGCCTTTACTTTTTGACCATTTCTAATGGATTTCTGGATTTTTTTTAAAAAAAAAAAAAAAAAAAAGACAAAAACAATTTTGGTCCATTTTCCCCCTTTTCTAACTTTTGAAACTGAAAAGGTGGCCTTTACATTTTTTCGACAAGAAGTAAAGGGGTTAGTTGGTGTTCACTCTTTGGTCAATTTGGCAACTTTTTCAAAATCAATCAACATTGGTAGAAATTAAGGTGAAGGCTAGCCGTTTATTCGGCAAAATATACTGTATAAGCTAAACCTTTTACTTGCAATATTTGGCGACTGTTTCAAAAATTTAAAAAGTGGATAATACCAGGCGCGAAAAGTTAAGGTTACTGTACGTTCTTAAATGTTTTGGCGACAAAATTTAAATCTCTTCACTTTTCCAGCATTTTTATTAAAATCTATTAATTTCTGAAGCACATGTATTAATGTGAACATTGTAAATATAAATAGTTCATGGTCGATTACTTTACATTTTATTCTATAAAGTGCCAGTAAGCCCAAATATGATTTCTCAACCGTGGAAAACCTCACTTTCATTAACTTTTTCACAAAAAACTTGCCGGATATAATGTTATAAGGTTAATTGTAGCAGAAGAAAAAAGCAAACTAATTTGCAGTTCATCGAATGAGATGAATTTCTTGATATGAATGCCAAAAATCATATTTGGATTAGTTGTACTGTTGTAAAAATGGGAAGCACTATCCAGTGTATTTTTTTAAGATCAGTGATTCACCTTTATATACATATCCAACTGTGTCTTTTCGTGGCAACGACCGAGTGATGGTGCGTATATAAACCTGCATATATACGCAATATATATTTGAGAATAATTTAAGATATTCATTATACTCACTGCCTATTCTTTCACCTATTGCGCAATCTTTCAAGTTCGTCACAAGATTCTGTTCTCATATTGTTCGCTCGGTTAAATAGATTCTGATCATTCCAAAATCGCGCTCTCGCGAACATATCATCACCTGGTAAAAAGAGACGTGATGTTTGTTATCGTCGAACATGGACGATTTTTGAGAGAAGGTGCAAGGGAGGTGCACACCTCTCAGTCTCCCCTGAGGATGTTTTTCATCCCCCCCTAAAAAATAATTTACGAGAAAAAAACAACACTTTCACACTTTCTAAAAATTGTCGAAAATCAAAACTTTGCTCAAAATTGGCAATTCTAATTCAATTTATAATTTTGTGACATCATGTAAGAACGATGTACACATCTACTTTAAAAACATACGATTTTACTTACGTATTTGCTGTTCTCTGTAACAAGCAGACCTCAATCTCCCAATATACTCTCGTTCAATTTGATTTTCTAATCTTGCTAATGATTTCCCGCTATAATTTTCGCTAAAATCTCTCTACAATGAAAGTAATAAAAAGCATTTTTGTTTAGAAACATCATTAAATAATATAAAATACAGTACAGTAGATAAAATACAGTTGAGTGTTTAGCACGTTTGCTTGTTGAATTAAGAGGTGCAGTGGTTTTTAAATTTTCACAGTAGTGTTTCGAATGTGGCATTAAGGGCATGTGAGTGCTCTTTAAAAATGATCCCAAAACCACAATGCACCCAAATGCACCGACTTTATTATTTTACTCTGTCTAACGCCAGAGGAATTTACTTGTCAAAGAGAGTCTTATGCGTCAATAGTTAAATGCGTAAACATGCATGGTAATTTTACATAATTCAGAACTTCTTTATCTTTAGAAATGTGATTTATTTCATTTTATTGTCATAACTAAACAATCAGGCCAACCAATATCAAACAGGTGCAAAAAATGCAAATAAATATCAAAAACATTGAAATAAACATTACCTGTACAAAATATGAAACTTTATATTTAGGCGTAACTCTGTGTAGACGATAGGGTCTAGAAAAACAAAACAGTCACTCAAACTTTTATTCAAAAAATCTCTTGATTTATTCACAGTAGAAATATTACAGATACTAGTAACTGGATTTGAAATGTATTCCTTGGAGCAAAGAAGCATCCAGCCAGATCAGGTAAGGGCAAGTTCTCATGCACCAAGCTTTAGTCTTGGACTCTTGGTTCAGTGTGCGACCATCACAGGAAAACATTTCAAAACCCATGTGAATGGAAAAAATTCTATACTGGTGTATTGTCTCGAGTTCGCGCTCCAGATACATATGGTACTCACTGGGCAAGTCATGCCAAGGAAATGCCATTTGAGAGATTAATATGAAAATATATAAGGGCCAGACGTAGGGGCTTCGCTCGAAACGTCGAAATTCTCCTTACATATTTTCAGGTAGTTGCATCCCTACCAACGAAAGCTTGGTCATTTGAAAGACTCTAGATTTAAAAAGTTTCAGGAGGTCAAGCCCCCTGGAATTTTAATTTGTGAACAAGAGGCGAGATCTTACCCGGAAGTACTGAAACTGTATGGTGGATCCTGCACCAATAGTGATGTCAGTAACGATAATCCAAGAAATATTAAGATTGGAATAAGATGCATTATACTTCCCACACCATTCTGAAACATAAAATGATCAACAATTTAATTTTAAAGATGGACATTTGTAATAAGTCCAGGTGTCTACAGACCAGTATGTAATACAGTATAACGGCCAGCCACCAGCCATTGTCCGAGCGAAACACTGATATGGCCGTCTACTGACTGTTCGTGCAAACCTTTTTAATTAAATCTGTAATCGGTTCGACATGCAAAAGAAGATTCCGATTCCTAGACAATCGCAGATTCCGAATTTTTCTCGATCCATAAATGAATAATAATAATATAACAAGACACAACTACTCGCCATTTCATCAATTAATTATTAAACCAACTCCCTTCTATTATAATAATTGCTTCGAGGACAAGAAATTTTATGTTAGTCAAATGATTTAATTTGGATTCGAAAAAATTATTTCGGTCTTATACGTTTCCAAACAAATGCTTCCTCACCCGAGAAACACTTTTTTCTTTGTATCCAAACAATTGTTGCCAAAAGAAAACAAAGCAATGTTTGTGCCAAACAAACATAAATTCATAATTTGCTGGCAGCCTATATATAAGTGTCTCTCCTGAGTTATATAAATAATTAGTGTCTGATCATGTCCGACCAAAACGTGGGTTGGTCTGATATAATGTCACACCACATTTCCACGATTATATTGAACTCTGTTAACGGTACACATGTCAGTGCTTGTGTCTTTCATCTCTGTGATCAGATTCTGATTCCTACAATATGCAGTTGACAGCTGGGTGCTTGTAGTTTAACTCTACAAACCCTGCAAGTTTTCCCTTGGTTGAACATCTCGAAAGAGATGACAATTTCCAATTTCCATAGGGCAGAGAAAGGCAGAGATGGATAATGTGGGGGTGCAAGGGGCTGGGCAGAACAGTTTAGACTGAAGTTCTAAGAAAACTCTCCAGATCCAATATAAAGTTGAGTAAATTAGTTCGAAAATGGTAAATCAGTAAATCACCTCGTGTACTTCTTGCTCCTCATCATCGTGTTGACGATGCCTCCGTCGTCGAGGATGCCGCCGATGTACAAACACTTGGTCTGAAAAAAAATAGTAGAG